GAATTTTCTGTGAAATTTCTTTAAAACGCTACTCCTTCCACAGTTTTGGTCTGATTTCAATATAACTTGGCACACAAGTAGACTACACTAAGACACATAGAATAGTGCATTGGTTTCTGATTTCAATGAATAGTGTTGCCATGGTTACTAAAATTAGAATTTTCTGTGAAATTCCTTTAAAACGCTACTCCTTCCACAGTTTTGGTCTGATTTCAATATAACTTGGCACACTAGTAGACTACACTAAGATACATATAATAGTGCATCGGTTTTTGATTTCGATGAATGGTGTTGCCATGGTTACTAGAAATAGAATTTTCTGTGAAATTCCTTTAAAACGCTACTCCTTCTACAGTTTTGGTCTGATTTCAATATAACTTGGCACACAAGTAGACTACACTAAGATACATAGAATAGTGCATCGGTATTTAATTTCGATGAACGATGTTGCCATGGTTACTAAAAATAGAATTTTCTGTGAAATTCTTTCAAAATGCTTCTCCTTCTACAGTTTTGGTCTGATTTCAGTATAACTTGGCACACAAGTAGACTACCCTAAGATACAAAGAATAGTGCATCGGTTTCTGATTTCGATGAACGGTGTTACCATGGTTACTAAAAATAGAATTTTCTGTGAAATTCCTTAAAAACGCTACTCCTTCTACAGTTCTAGTTTGATTTCAAAATAAGTTGGCACACAAGTAGACTACACAAAGATACATAAAATAGTGCAATGGTTTTTTATAAGTACATACCAGTAGAGCTACAGTCTCGACAGAGACTTCTGGTTATATGAAAGTGTGTATGAAGTAAAATGTTTTCTTTTATGAAAGTACAATTGTACTCTATTTTGCAACTGAGAAAGATTTGCCCAATATGTGTAGTAAAAAAGACACACAACTTTTATTTCATGAAAGAATGAAATTGGAGAAGGACTTTTCTGGTCTCACAAGACACTTTGGGATAAAATTGCAAAAGAGTTGAAAAATGGTGGATGTGTTGTTGTTTCAGCCAAACATTGTGAAAATAAATACAAGTCACTGAAAAGGGAATACAGGGCTACAATTGATCACAACAGCAAAAGTGGAAACGATAGAAAATCCTGCGCCTTTTTTGATGAATTCAGTGAACTATACGGGATGAAGGCAGGATCAAGACCAAAATTTACAATTGGAATCCTCTCCGGCAGTTCCAGTGAAAGTTCTCAATTGCCAGAATCTTTTAGTTCTGATGAACAGCCCCATAGATCCAAAGAAAAACAAACCAAAAACAGGAAAAGGAAGACAGCTGGAGTTACAGATTGGCTTGAAAGTTACGAGGAAAGGCAAGTTGATTTACAAAAAAAAAAAAACAGGATGAAAGAACTAAAAGAAATGCATGACGAAAAAATGCAAATGATGGAGAAACTGTTAAATGTTCTGCAGGAGAAAAAGAAATAAATGAATGAAAGTCTATTCATTTCAGTAATATGATTATTTTATTTTTTGTTCCAGAAATTTGATTGACCTTCCAGGGGAAGTTTAAGTGAAAATATCATCAATTTTGGACAGAAAAAGTCAGTTTTGTTTTGCAGGAGTGAGTAAATACTCCAGGTCTATCATTTATAAAATGATTGAGAAATTTTCGATTTCTTGTAGTGCTCTCAGAAACAGCTTGTGTTTTCTGAGGAATATGAGTTGCTTGAAAAAATTGACAGTAGTTGGGCATTATGATCAGAAAATCTGTCGTATGAAATCATTAGATACGCTTGCTGTATATGTTGAAGACTTTCATGCGCTCAAATGTATTGATTTATCTGGAGTTGAGATAGATTTTTTAATACTTCGCCAAAATTATTTTAAATGCAAAGACATTGGAAATTATCTGCGCAAGAAGGTCAACACCTTTTACTCTAGAGTTTGTTACCAATCTGCTGTCTGTGAAAAAAAAAATCTTAAATTTATAGCAGCCTCAATTGAATGTAATTGAGAAGAGCAAAAGTAATGGGCCATTATATTAAATAAGTATGCAGGCAAAATATCTTTTGGTCATGACATAATTGATTCTGTGAGCTCATCATTGCTGTGTTATCCAAGATCATTATACAGCATTCCAAATCCATCTGGTCAGTATTAATCTTGCATTTGCCAAGTGACGCAGGGACTGCATTTAATTTATCATGGAAAACTGAATCAAGTTTTCTATACTGACTATCCTCATAAAAATGGTTTTGTACCTTTAATTAAAGATCCATTTTATCATGTTTATTGACAAAGTTTTTTATGAGAGAATTGTTTTGATATTATATTTTAATTTTTGTCTATTTTAGTAACAAAGATATTGTTGCTACTGGTTGTATGTTTTGTATTATTGTATTGATACATAATACAATTTATTAAAGATCATGAGAAAAAGTGCAGTGTTTGTTTACCTTCTCTATTATTACAAATAACAGTTTTATTACTACATGTATAATGCAGGGATGAAAATGTCACATTTAATAATTTTGAAGACTCTGCACAAGAGCTTTTCTTTAATTAACACCGCGTCGATCGTTTCTGTATATATTGGGATAATAGTTCACCCTGCTTGCTTGATTTGGATTTAGTTCGAGATAGTCATCCATGTCGTCTTTCTTCAGAACACACAAATTATGCAAAATACATGCTGAGGTAATGGGGTAGCAACAGTCTTCAATATTCATGCAGTAAAGTTCACGCAACCGACGGAAACGCCCTTTCAAGTGACCTATTGTTCTCTCAACTGTTTGACTAATTGATGATACCTTGCGATTGAAAAGCTTCTGTGCAATTGAGAGATTACCCACATCTCTAAAGGGTGTCATTATGAATGATGAAAGTGGATATGCTGCATCTCCTTAAGAAAAGAATTTTGATTGAAAAATTATGCATTACAACAAAAATGCAAACAGATGTCTATATTGGAATACCGGTGGTAATTATTATTCAATGAAATAAATACAATGTAATAAGTATATACCAATTAGAAATTTCTCTTGTGCAAGGTTAACCCCATTATCATTATCCAAACAGTTAAAAATTGGTGAATTGTGGTACACTCCGACGTAAGTGTCTCTTATCTTCATCTGGTCATCAACAACAAGTTGTAGCTGAATAGATGGGTATCCTTTCCAATTAATGTAATCTTTATCACCATTTGGAATGAATGATAACGCAATATGAGTTCCATCAATAAATCCAATACAATTTTGTAATCCACTAGACTCGTATATGACTCGAGATATATGTTCTTGGGCATCATGATCGGGCCAAATAATGAATTTTCGCAAAAGTTTGTCACATAGCGTCTTTGAAACCCGGCGAATACATCTATGAACTGTGAAAGGGCTAACTCCAAATAAACATGCAACTTTTCGCATAGAATCTTGGTTGGCGATGTACCACAAGAATATCAGGAGTTGTTTATCAGGAGTTAAGGCAGGTCTCCCATATTACGTTCTCTATATTTAAGTGATGGTCCTAATTCAAGCAGAAGAATATCATACTAGACAAACGAAAATGTTTTTTGAAGTTGATATTCATACTTGGTATTATTTCTTCAACAAATTTATCAATTTTGGCTACATCACATCTGACGTTCGTGGATAGACAGGAAATAAACAGTACATAATAGTTGTTTTCACCAAAAACATGAATATCATCGTTTTCCCCGTTTTCCTCGTTTTCTAAAAACTCGTCGATAAAAAAAGGCAAAACAGCGTCCGTTTTTAGAACACTCAGGTCATGTTCTTGCCGTTTGATTAAAAAGAGACTATGTTTGTTTGTGCGCATGCTCAATATCAACCCGACTCGACACTAGAGTTGACAAATCAAATACGCCCTGTATTCCGTTTGATTATATGTCCTTCAAAGCCTATAACTATTTTTTAGTACATGTTGCCATTTAATTTGTTAAAAAGTTACACAAAATATCATACAGAAGTTGGAAATATTTTAAATTTTCTTGGATTGTGGTGCATGTCCCTGCTTCGCTCGTAATGACCGAAACGTTAACAAAATCTTGAAATTACGAGTGAGTTATCGCACTTATAAAGCGATCTTCTATAAAGAAGGTAAGTTCAACCTGACTTAATTTGGATATCGGCAGATAGGGAAGGAAAGAATGGTCCTTATGACGAACTTTAAACACGTAGGTATTGTTATTTATCCCGTACCTTCATTAAACTTCAGGACCGTATGCAGAGTAGCAAAAATATGTATTTGAGGTGGGGGGAAAAAATAAGTGTGTATAGATATATCATTACTGTATTCCTTGTAAGGAGGTATAGTATAGTTGAAGTTTGTTACAGTCTTCGGACTACAGTGCTGCTATCCTATAAGTTGACAATTCTATCCTATCCTATCGTGAATCCTGCATCCACAATCCTATTCTGTGATTTCAGTCTAATCCTATCCTATCCTATCCTGCAACTCTCAGTTTTTTAATATTTAGGAATTAATTTGACAAAACGAAAATAAGGAATTACCAGAAAGAAAAATCAGATATAGTTATGGTATTCATTCAAATGTTATATATTTTAATGGTGAAAAATAATCGAGATCGGCATTCCATAATTCCCGACTGACCGTACAAATTAAATTTACGAATTATCATTACCATGTTAAAAATTAATGTTAACAAACAGATCGTAATTACACGTGGACAAGTACTGATTTTGCAAACATATGTAAAGAAATTGGCCTACCAGAAGAATTAAAGAAAAATGTACTTAGTGTTTTAATTTTCCTTCTAACAATGATCGGGAGACCCGGGATCGCGACTTGCGTCCGACGTGTAATATTTAATTATTTTTAAAAATCATAGGCCTATACGGTAATAATGTTTAAGTATATGTTTCATGTAAAATTTTATTTTTTCCTATTAAACTGAGCACCATGAAAATAATATGCGTGTACATTTATAGTCTAACTGTGCCTGTGTAACAGGTTTTTCTGTATACAATTCGGAAAAAGAAGATGTGACTAGACCATAAACCAAACAGAGAAGTCAAAATGTAGATCTAGAATATCTTGACTTTCACATATTAAACATTTTAAATGTGAAATTGTCTTATAATTTCAATATTAATTGTATGATTTTTTTTATTTAAATTCATAATTTATTCTTTTTTAAAATTGCAGTTCATCATCTATTGTATGTGATATTTTTCGAACATGCAAAATATATAGTTGCTAAATTCAAGATAATCAAAATGTTAATTTTTTTTTCATTTAACTTCAGTTTCTCCTCAGTTTATGGTCAGCTCAGCACCGTACAAATGTATTTCAATTTCCAATTTTTTTTATGTGTGAAAATTTAATAATTTATGTTTAATAGAATATATTTTCTAAATTTGATATTGGTTGACAGATTGACATTAATAAATATTGTAGTGAGGTCACACATGTTTCTAAGATCTTATAAAACATGCATGAGAAATTCAGAATTCACAGTATTTACATGTAAAACTCATTCTTGAGTAAAGCAAATTTGTATTTGACCTTGGCATTTTATCTTGAATGTTAATCAGTGTCAGATTGAGAAATATTAAAATGCTCCTCACATATTCCTTAGATCTTATAAAACATGCATAAGAATTCACAGTACTTACAGCATTTATAACACATTCTTGAGTAAAATTTGTATTTGACCTTGACCATTGATCTTAAAATTTTCAGTGTTTAAATGAGGAAAAATACTTCATCAAGTTCACAATATTTTTATTCAAGGTGATTCCTCAACAATGTTTAACAATTCAATATTCCATTACCATGAGACAATCATTAAAAGTATCCATGTACAGCATTTATGAATTTCAATGCAAAGATCACAGATACATGTACATGAACTTTGTTTAAATTTAAGTTTATCAATGTTTTTATTACACTTGTATAATGTTTTACATGCATATAATTTGGCTTTCTTAACCGACGCTCAAATTGAAATTCAAATGTCAGAGTTATTGTCAGAGAGATGGTCATAAACCGAACAGTTCTACAAATGTCAACAATGCACAGAAAACAAACACTGATCTCCTTAATAAAAGCACCATGATTTCAGACTTAGGACTCTTTGACACTGCATGTGGTTTGAACATCTTTCATCATTTACTCTAACAGCATATGGCATGAACTGCATTCTGTACAGCTGCAAATGTGCAGGGTTTCCTGAAAAAAAAAAGACAACATAAAATGAAATTATAGGCATGTTGATTCATGATTGTAAACTTTGTCACACACATTTCATACACATTTAACATGTTTAAAATGTTTTTGATTGTGATTATCTTTCACATTTCATGTACAATTGGTTTTAAAATTTCACCTTTTTCTCTCCCAAAAGTAATGCATTTAGAAATCAAGAAAAATAAAATCTTATACTTCAACCTCAGTCATATAAAATAAAAAAAAATCTTATTTCACAAAATTACTTGTACATTATAATTCATTTTATCTTGTCAACTTGCTAACAAGTATGAATACATTTGTTATAGTGACTTTTCTCTATTTTCTGCTTGTATTTATCTATTTAATGTTTTTTCTTGGTTTTCTTTTTTTTGGTCTTGAAATTTGAATATGAAAATCTATGTAACAACAACATGATGACCAGAAAAATTCAACATTTCTTTCAGTTTTACTCTCAATATTTTTGAAAGAAGAAAATCACTTGTTCTGAGAAACTGCGGACATGTCACGTCAACTCAGATAATGATGTTTAATATGTATTTTAATGACCATGTAAAAATACATGATAAAAATAAAATCATACATACTTTTTAGGTTGAAATCCTTTAAACTGTGATGACGCATGAGTGCAGGCAATCCATTTTCTGTAATGATTAACATTAAAAGATTAACTTATGTTTCATAACTCACAATACATCATACATACATGTATAATATGTAAGTGCACTGCTGAGTGAGCTTATTAAACATTTATGCAGAAGCATTAGAAATGCCAAATGGTCATGATGATTCTACATTCATCTATTATTAATTACACAGAAATGAAAAAAAAATATTTTCTGACCTTATTAGGGAAATGATAAGAGTAACAACCTGATAAAGGCATAATACATATGATTGTTTTAGTCTTAGAGCTCATTGATAGCCGATTGAATCATATGACAGAGTATTTGTAAATATTACCCCCCCCCTTCTGTACACACTACTTCTTTTTTCCGCACCCAATTTTTGTTTATATTAAATAGAATAAAATGTTTATAGTTTAAGACATTAGAACATTGTTTAAAGGGATAAATATGTATAAAAATGCACACATGTACAGTGCACAGTGTAAAGTATACTTACATGATCTCGAACATCATCTATTCAAGTCCGCTGTTGACGGTTCCAGTAGAATTATCCAAAGAAACAGAGGATATTTAACAGAAAAACATGTATCACACTTTTACACAAGTAAGAATCGGTTAAATCATCCAAACAAGCTAAAGAAATACGGTCTTTCGATGCCTGTAAACATTCCCAAATTCTTCCGGTGATCGTTCACGGTTAGATCGTACGCCGTATTACTCGAAGTTTATAATGTAAATCTGTGTTTAGAGAAAAGAATGTTTTATTTTCTATTAAAAATTGATAAATATTTCTTTTGTAAACATTTTATATCGTATTTCGTTTTTGTAATTTATTCTGAAATATGAATAAACCTTTGCTCGAATCTGATTGGCTGTAGGATACAGGATAGGATAGGATAGGATAGGATTGGATTAACTTCTATATGTTTCTATCGTGAATCCTCAATCCTGAATCCTATCCGATCCCATCCCATGTCAACTTGTGGGATAGCAGCACTGTATGCACTTACTCTCTTTTGTGATTGGTAGAAATTGCATGATAAGAAAATGTTCAATTATTTCATTGGTTGAAATGCTGTTCCAGGCAAGGGAGATAATAAATTTGTAATCTAATTTTCGAACGACATAACAAATTTACAAGATTTTCAATCTGAAAAAAAACCAGAAGTCTCTGTCGAGACTGTAGCTCTACTGGTTTGTACTTATCAAAAACCATTGCACTATTCTATGTATCTTAGTGTAGTCTACTTGTGTGCCAAATAATATTGAAATCAGACAAAAACTGTAGAAGGAGTAGCGTTTTAAAGGAATTTCACAGAAAATTCTATTTTTAGTAACCATGGCAACACCGTTCATCGAAATCAAAAATCGATGCACCGTTCATCGAAATCAAAAATCGATGCACTGTTCTATGTATCTTAGTGTAGTCTACTTGTGTACCAAGTTATACTGAAATCAGACAAAAACTGTAGAAGGAGTAGCGTTTTTAAGGAATTTCACAGAAAATTCTATTTTTAGTAACCATGGCAACACCGTTCATCAAAATCAAAAACCGATGCACTATTCTATGCATCTTAGTGTAGTCTACTTGTGTGCCAAGTTATACTGAAATCGGACCAAAACTGTAGGAGGAGTAGCGTTTTTAAGGAATTTTACAGAAAATTCTATTTTTAGTAACCATGGCAACACCTTTCATCGAAATCAAAAATGTGTGCCAAGTAATATTGAAATCAGACTAAAATTGTAGGAGGAGTAGCGTTTTGAAAAATTGTTTACAGACGGACAGACAGACAGACGGACGGACGCCGGACGCATTACTGTCGCATAAGCTCTTCTGGTCTCTGACCAGTAGAGCTAAAAATGACGACACGCAGAAGCAAGAATTGCAATTAGAAATGTAACTGTTTCCTATTTCATAAATGATGTATGCCAAAACGTTATTATGATAACATAAGAAATAAAGATATCGCCATTTGTGCATGAAGAAGGAATTTTGTTTGTTTGTTTTGTTCAATATTGTGCAGTTTGGTTTGACTAATCACCACAAATCGATTTGCAGATGCAAAAAGATAAAATTATACAAGATTAATGAAGCATGTTTGCAGAATAAATTTCTAATATTTTTTGGGTAGCCGGAAAGGTAAAATCGAATCAACATATATTTCAATTTATGGAAAAAAGTTCTTATTTATGTAATTTCAGGAACTTCTAGAAATATGTATATAAATAAATATTGCCATGAGTTTATCAAGATTATACCATATACATGTCATAAATGAATTCATTTGTGACAAAAATAATTTTGTAAACTAGAAACTCTTGTTGCTACAGCAACAAAGAAGGTCTTCCGTTCTTCTCTATTTATCTGCAAGAAGGATATTTTTCTATTTGAAGAAAAAAAACAAAATGCCAAAAAAAAAACAAAAAAAAATTCCTCCATCTGGGCTCGATCCCAAAACCAATAGTATGACAGTCGGACACGCTAACCACTGAGCCACCGAATACCACAACAATAAAGGTATTTTGTAAGCTTATTATTTTCAGGTTGAAGAAAATAGTTTCAAAGTGAAAGAAATAGTTTCGTAGTAAAGTCCCTGTCAAATTTCTTAAAAAACTGAGATATTCCCTGTTTGATGTGATATTGTATGTAGGAAAATGATTAGAATAATTATGGGACACATTTGCAGTGAAGCAATGACACTTAGCATAAACAGAGTTGTAAAGCGAAACTAATACACGTGGTCAGTTGCAGAGTAAATTCAAAATCCCGGAAAAACAGTGAGTGAGTCATGGGCATTTTTTCAACACCATATCGTATCAAGCGGGGTAACTGCAATTGACCTATCTAGATTGCGTGGAAATTTAATTGATATGAAAAATCGTCATTTCCGAGTTTCAGCCGATTCATATTTAAATCTAAATAAAATTAAAATAAAATTCCATACACCCAAGAAGGCAAGAATACTTGGTATTAAAATGTCGTAATACAGCAGGAGAATCGAATGATATTAACAATAATTGCAGAAATAGCCAATACGAGTTTTAATTAATTTTTATGCTAAGCAATAACTTAATTTCAGACAGAAAAAAAATGCAGATTTTGCCGATATTCACAAGAATTTCAAAATACTTCAGAGACTCACCTTAAAACTCTCAGGACACTTTCTTTCAGGTCTCTTCTTTCTTTTTTTACGAATCTTATGCCGATATTTCGTTTCGTTTGACTTGTAGACATTTTCTCTAAGTTGGTGTTGATTGTTTTTTTTTTTTTAGAGAAGGGAGGGGATATTTTATTTTTGCAAATACCTCCACGACCGTAAGCTTGAATGTGACCTTTGGGTCAATTGGGCCAAAGGACAAGGTCATTTATCAAGGTCAAAGGTCAAGGTCATCAGAGAGAGAGAGAGAGAGAGAGAGGTAAACTTGAGATAAACACTTGAAGCTGAATCTAGATAAAGGTAATGAATATTTCTGTTACTTTTTGAGTAAGGGTTAAAGGTCTCATTTTGAGGTTTCTCTAGACATTTGCAGTCTGAATAACATGTCCCAAAATCATTTCAAATACTCTTTTTATAAAAGATATTTATGGGATAGTAAGAAACTCAATTTATGCAGTTTTTCTCTCATAACCGGAAGTCGTTGCTTTTGTTTCCAATGGGACTGACATATTTCGAAACTACTAGTAAGATGCTATAAGGTAATACTAAGAAAGATTCCATAAGGAAAAGTTTAAATTTTTGATTTATTTGATCACTTCCTGTGACAACCAGAAGTGACGGCGGACGATCTTAAACTCAAAGGATTTGTCTACTCATCAAGGTCTACCATCCCTATTAGTTTGGTGTCTTAATCTCTTACCGTTAACGAGATCTAGCAATGATAACTTCTGATTTTGAGGACAGGAAGTCACGCGACCGGAAGTGAATTTTACTGAGATATTATACATTACTGTAGACATTTGCAGTCTGAATAACATATCCAAAAATCATTACAAATACTTTAACTATATGAAATATTTATGGGAAAGAAAAATACTCAAATTATGTAGTTTTTCTCTTATAACCGGAAGTTGTCGTTTTAGTTTACGGTGGGACTGATATATTTAAAAAATACAAATAAGATGTTATAATGTGATGCAAAAAAAGTTTCATGAAAGAAAAGTAAAAAATTTTGATTTTTTGTATCACTTCCTGTGACGACCGGAAGTGACGGCGGACAAACTTATCCCAACTGATTTTGCCTACTTATCATGATATACCATGTATATAAGTTTGGTGTCTTAATCTCTTACCGTTTACGAGATCTAGCTATGATAACTTTTCATTTTGAAGACAGGAAATCACGCGACCGGAAGTGAATTTTACAAAGATATTTGAGGTTACTGTAGTCATTTGCAGTCTGAATAACATATCCAAAAATCATTACAAATACTTTATCTAGAAAAAATATTTATGGGAAAGAAAAATACTGAAAATATGCAGTTTTCCTCTCATAACCGGAAGTTGTCGTTTTTGTTTCCGGTGGGACTGATATATTTCGAAACTACAAAATAAATGCTTTAATGTGATGCAAAAAAAGTTTCATACAAGAAAAGTTGAAATTTTCGATTCCTTTGATCACTTCCTGTGACGACCGGAAGTGACGGCGGACAATCTTAACCCAATTGGTTTTGCCTACTTATCAAGATCTATTACTTATATAAGTTTGGTGTCTTAATCTCTTACCGTTTCTGAGATATGACTAGGACAAAACTTTTTTGAAAAAAGCGGAAATCGGACATATCTGACGACCGGAAGTGAATTTTGAAAAACTGAATACTGCATCCGAAAGATATTTTTACTCTCTATCATCCCTGAAAATTTCATGAGAATCTGTCCAGTTATCTCTGAGAAATCGTCAAAACAAAAAGAAAAAAAAATAATAATAAAAAGAAAAAACAGTAGAATCTCTATAAGGTCTTCCGTCTGAAACGGAAGACCTTAATAACAAGTAACTAGAAAAAATGGTCGATTTCAATTCAGCGTGTTTTTAATTTAAAACATGATCACTGATGATTCCTGGTTTTAGTCTAAGCGAAAGTTTCCCGCCTTTTTTCCCATGCGCTCAAAGAAGTCTGAATAGCTGTGAGTCAGTCTGATAGCTGTTGCAATCAGAATTGAACAGGAAACTGTGCAAAATCATACAAATAATAAAGAACGAGTTTCAATGGTTTCCAAGTTTAGGTTGCAAGTATATTCAAACCAGTCTTAATGTAAATGATATGTCTAAAAATATGCAGAGCAACAATTGTGTAGAAAAAAGGGCGATGTTGATGATAGTCATTGACCTATCTTTACAGAAGTAAACATGAATAATGACAACACTTCATTGACAAATTTATCTCATATTCAATCAAATTGCAATAGTTCTGATGTACATGCCTCAAACATCAGTTCCTACAATCATTCATACTGCATCAAAACATGCAATAACATGAAAAATATCCCATTGGCAAATGATCTTGTAAATGATATTTCAGATCTTGCTGGTACTTCATGTGACCAAATTGTGAAAGATTTATTCAAGTTCCACAAGAAGCAATTGATAACTTCCTTAAAAAAATCATTGAGAAAGATGTTGATGAACTTGATATTTCCAATGATATTGATTCCTCTG